TTCAATTTCTTGCGCCGAATTGAAATCTGCATAAACGAAGGAGGTGGCCATATTGAACATTTATTGTAAAAAAATATTTAACTTTCTTTTCCAATTGTTATTTTTCAATAGATACCTATGCCTATTAATGATTGTTTTATTGTAATAACGTTAAAATCGTGTTCGGGTTGCAGTAGTAACCGCCAACTTAGTTTTCTTGAAAATTTTAAGTGACTAACCATCAGTCCATAAAATTTTTTTTACTCAAATACCATGAGAGATACATGTTTTTTGCAAGAGAGATAAAATGCTACAAATAAAAACAGATCTCCAAAAAAAAATACGATGTCATTTATGGTAGGATTAGGGTGGTTTTTACCCTTCTATAATTTCAGTTGGTGTAATTTTTGCTTTGAACAATGGCTCTTCAATTAAAATAGCTACACACCAAATTTTATAAAAATCGAACGAAGCGTTTTTGTGTTATTAAAAAAAATTGAAAATTTTCTTCCAACTTTGAAGCTTCCCCACATGCAAACGATGGACTTTGTGATATAGCTAATTTTGGCTCAATCGACTTATTCTGATCTCACCAACATACAGTAGATCTATGTACACGGAATTTTGGGACACCCTGTATAAGTGCCAATGTTATGAAAAATAAGAAATATATTCGTTTTCAGCGGTAAATATTTATTAACGTTTTGACATAAAGCCGCTATGATCCTTTAAGCTGAATACTTCAGATCCGCATTAAGGGATTACCATAAATATTAAGCATCAAACATTTCAGAAAACAGATTTCATACACATACATAAATTTAAAAAAATGGCAAAATTTTGAACATTTAATTTAAATAAGAAGTAAATAGGCATTGTTGTTAACGAAATTTTGTTTTTAAAAAGTAGTTTTATAAGAGTTGTCCTTTTTGGTAAATAAATAAAAAGTAAAGAAGCATAGTCTAGCGAAATTTTATTTTTATAAAGTATTAATTATAAGTATATTAGATAAAATACAGGATGACCCACTTAAAATTTCAAAGTTCATCTTTTTTGCGGTCAAATCAGGTTTTAAAGATAACGGGATCAAAAAATCGGAGTCTCTATTATGGAGATAAATGATCGGATAAAAGCAAGCGACCGATAGGGGTTACAAAAATAATCGATTATTCTTTTATTATTTTAATAAAAATCGATTCATGCGTTATAATTAATCGATTATTTTCGATTAACCGGATATTTTCAATAAATTATTTTCGTTTTTTTAAAGATAATAGAATAATCGATTTTAAAGAAGATACAAAAGAAAATAGATTTATTGAAAATAATCAAAAATAATCGATTTTTATTTCGTTTAATCAGCTTTTTTATTTATCAATTATTTTTGATTTAACGATTGTGTTCGATTATTTTTAATTATTTTCGATTATTTTCGATTATTTTCGAATATTTTCGAATATTTTCGATTATTTTCGATTATTTTCGATTATTTTCGATTATTTTCGATTATTTTCGATTATTTTCAATTATTTTCGATTATTTTCGATTATTTTCGATTATTTTCGATTATTTTCGATTATTTTCGATTATTTTCGATTATTTTCGATTATTTTCGATTATTTTCGATTATTTTTGAATATTTTCGATTATTTTAGATTATTTATTTTCGATTATTTTTGATTATTTTTGATTTTTCAAAGATATTCGAATAATCAATTTTAAAGAAAACACGATAAAAAAATAAATTATTTGAAAATTATCGATAGTTCGATTTTTTTTTGAAAATCGATTTATCGTAGAATCGGCTTCTTAATAATAGAATATATTCGATTAGGCGACTATTTTCAATTATCGATTATTTTTAATATTTTAAAGATAGTCAAATAATCGATTTTAAAGAAAATACAAAAAAAAAGAGATTATTTGATAATAATCGATTGATGGAAAATTATCGATTATTTATAATAATAATTCAATAATTTTTTTAAAATAAATTATCGGGTAATCGGCTTTTTAATTAATCGAATATTTTCGATTAATCGAATATTTTCGATTATCGAATATTTTCAATAATTTTTTTTAGTTTTTTCAAAGATAATGGAATAATCGATTTTAAAGAAAATATAAAAAAAGATTTATTGAAAATAATCGATTGATTGAAAATAATCGGTTATAATTTTTTTAGAATTATCGATTTTACGGTTAATCGACTTTTTAATTAATCGATTATTTTCGATTTAACGATTATTTACGATTATTTTTGATTATTTATGATTATTTTTGATTATTTTCGATTATTTTCGATTATTTTCGATTATTTTCAATTATTTTCGATTATTTTCGATTATTTTCGATTATTTTCGATTATTTTCGATTATTTTCGATTTTTCAAAGATATTCGAATAATCAATTTTAAAGGAAATACGATAAAAAAATAGATTATTTGAAAATAAACGATAGTTCGATTTTTGTTTATATCGATTTATCGTAGAATCGGCTTCTTAATTAATCGAGTATTTTCGATTGGGCGATTATTTTTGATAATTTAAAGAGTAAAAAAATCGATTTTAAAGAAAATACGAAAAAAAAAATAGATTATTTGATAATAATCGATTGATGGAAAATAATCGATTATTTAAAATAATCAATAATTCAATTTTTTTTTAAAACGATTTATCAAGTAATCGGCTTAATCGATTATTTTCGATTAATCGAATATTTTCAATATTTTTTTCTGTTTTTTCAAAGATAATGGATTAATCGATTTTAAAGAAATAGATTTATTGAAATAATCGATTGTTGAAAATAATCAAACATAATCGATTGATTGAAAATAATCAAAAATAATTGATTTTTATTTAGAAAAACCGATTTATCGTTTAATTGGCTTTTTTAATTAATCGATTATTTCGAATAATCGATTATTTTTGATATTTCAAAATAATCTATTTTAAAGGAAATACGAAAAAAAAATAGATTATTTAATAATAGTCGATTGATCATAAATAATTCATAATTCGGTCATTTTTTAAATCGATTTATCAGTTAATCGGCTTTTTAATTATCGATTATTTCGATTAATCGATTATTTTCGATTATTTTAGATTAGTTTTGATTTTTCTAAGATATTCGAATAATCAATTTTAAAGAAAATACAAAAAAATAGATTATTTGAAAATATTCGATATTTCGGTTATTTTTTTTTAAATCGATTTATCGCAGAATTAGCTTCTCAATTAATCGATTATTTTCGATTGAGCGATTATTTTTTAATATTCGATTATTTTTGATATTTCAAAGATTGTCAAATCGAGTATTTGATAATAATCGATTGATTGAAAATAGTCGATTATTTAAAATAATCGATAATTCTGTCATTTTTTTAAAGCGATTTATTGCTTAATCGGCTTTTTAATTAATCGATTATCTTCGATTAAGCGATAATTTTCGAATAATCGATTATTTTTGATATTTTAAAGATAGTCGAATAATCGATTTTAAGGAAAATACGATAAAATAGATTATTTGATAATAATCGATTGTTTGAAAATAATCGATAATTCGGTCTTTTTTTTAATCGATTTATTGGTTAATCGGCTTTTTAATTAATCGATTATTTTCGATTTATCAAGGATTATTAAATAATCTATTTCAACGGAAATGAAAAAAAAAATAGATTATTTGAAATAATAGATTATTTGAAATAATAGATTATTTGAAATATTCGATAATTCTTTAATTATGTTTTGGAAACACGTTTATAGGTTATTCAGTTTTTTAATTAATCGAATATCTTCGATTTTTCAAAATAATCGAATAATCGATTTTAAAGGAAATACGAAAAAAAATAGTTGGTTTGAAAATAATCGACTGATCGAAAATAATCGATTATTTGATGATTGATAAATTAATTCGATAATCGTCCGTCCCTAGCTTTCGAATAACTTTTATTAGGTTTAAATTTTAAAATGTTATCCGGTTTCAGAAATATTTATGTGACACATCCTCTATATTAATTAATATTCCTAAAGAAAGAAGCTTTAATATACCTTTTTCTGTGGTTCCTATACAAAACAGCATTTTCTCATTTTGACTAATTTTTAATATTATGTAATAGCCGTAGAAAAAATATAATGTTCATCTCACAACGTTTGATTGGCAGTATTTGCCTGCGCACACGCTGTTATTATAATAATACTCGTAGACAATGAGTATCATTTTTTGCTCAATTGACAATATTTTAGTTCATCATTTTATTGTATTTGTTATATCTGTTTGATATTAAAAAATCTCGTTAATTTTATTTCATAATACAACATTCCATCAAATACCATTTTAGTAAATCTAATAGTTCATAATGATGGTAACAAACGTTTGGGTCTCCTCCCAGTTCTCCCACTCCATTAAACTTTTTTTAGAAATTGGCAACATTCGCACAGATTAAACACCGGTGTGTGTTACATCTTTGGTCTCTTTAATCTACGATTGGAATATTTTATGGGATCAGAATAGATAGATAATGAAAAGCTATAGGAGAAGAAAAAGAAGGCAAAATATTTGTAAGTAACCAGAAAACAAGAGGAAATGTTAAAGAATAGTATAAAACCCAAAATAGTGGACCAAACACCATGCTCTGTCATTATAAATGAGATGTATGAGTAGGTACACCTCGAAAAAAAAAAAAAAAACAACAATTTATTTTGTTAATCAATATGAAACAGCAAAATTTATCACTTCAGGGTAATTTTAGGAGATTTTTTTTGTGAAAATTTACGTCTAAATAAACTAAATAATATCTTACCAATTTTTTAACATTAACATTATAGGAGTAGAAGCCATTAACTACATCAATGTCATTCTAAAATAAAATATTAGTAAAAAAAAACATAACAAAAAAATTAGTACGTTACAAAAAAAAATAATATAATTCCTGTTAGATCGACCCCAAATTAAAACAAATGAAAATCCAATTAGAAATTACAAACCCAAATTAAGAAAACCAAAACAAATAAAAAACTTACAACGGAAATATTTTCTTTTTCCTCTTTTCTCGATTTTTTAGTCTTCTTTTTCTTAAGTACCTTTTCTTCGGGCGTGTCCGATTGGATGGTAGTGGTTTCTGTGTATGACTCTGTTACTGTGCTCTAAATAAATAAGAAACAACAAAAATAATAATAAAAATAATAATAATAAATAAATAAATAAATAAAACAATTTTAATATTTTTATTTTTGATAAAATAAATAGTAAAACACGACATAAAATGTGAAAACCATGCAGTAGCTAACACTTACTTGTATAGGCCTGCCTCATTTTAATTTTAATAGGGTAAATAGTGTACGTCTGTAAATATACCAACAACTTGGTAAAATTTTTTGAATTAAACCGTTTGTACAACTTTATACAACTTCCAAAAATACATTTAATCTCTAAACTCTTTATCTGTAAACTCTATGTTCCTCTGATTAGTGACGGCATCATAAACAGAGTGGTCTAAACAGTTGTATAAAGGTACCATTTGGGAAGGCGAGACCGAGGCAGACGATAGCAGCAAGGCAGCAAATATTGCCGTGTTAAAGTAGTGTCGCGTCATTTTCATCAATCGCACTCTCCCAAATGTATTTAATTTAATTACATGTGTTCAAACGTAAAGAGATCGTTTTCGGTCGCTTGTTACTGTCTCCTGTCGCGGTCTCGCCTTCCCAAATGGTACCTTAACGATGGGAAAAAAGTTTAGGTATCTTATATTTCACAAAAAAAATATTGTTAAAACGCTCTGCATCACTTGGAAATCCATAATTAAACATCAAATTTTGTAAAATATTCATCATGGTATTCAGGGAAAATAATAATAATTTTAAATGAAGAGTAAAATGTCAATATAGAGCAAAATATTAACTAAAAATGTTGATAAGAATAAAAAAAATAAATAATTCAATTTTATAAATGTTATACTTGACTAGGGATTTCCAAGTAATGCAGAACTTTTTTATCAAAAATAATTTTGTTGTGAAATGAAAGATACACTTTTTTCCCATTTGTATACAACTTTTTAGGATATACTGTATACAGGGTGTCCCATTAGTGCGTAATTGTTCAATATTTCAATTTGTGTTAGAGACACGCAAATAAGTTTCAAATAAAAGTTATATTAATTGAAAATATACCTATTTTAAAAATATTTTTGGATATACAGGGTGTTGCGTTTTTTTGCCTGGCAAATAAAAATGTATATTTTTAAGATTGAATATTTTATTTCAGTTTTAGAATGGTTTGGTAATACTGTATTCAACCCTAGAATATTTGTCAAAAATATTACAGGATTGCCAAGCAATTAATTTTTTTATGAAATTAGAGAACGATGCAGACCCCAAAATAATTTATCACAATTAAGGAAGGTTTACATTGATTTCAAAATTGTTTAATATACAAACTTATAAGATACTAAGCTAACGAATAGCGGTTGTTAGAATTGGTTTATTTTATACAGAGTGTTAGGAAACATGTCTTAAACATTGCTAATTTTAGGTTCAATTTATTTAATTTTTTGAAATGCAACACCCTGTATATTATTTTAGCATAAATTTTTTTATAAATTCAACAATTTCAATATGTTAGCCAATACCAATAACACATATACAGTGCGTAATTGATCTATAGTTTTATTATTGGAAATACGAAGAATAAAAAAGTTGTATGACCATATTTAACAATTATTCTTAAATATACAGGGTGTTCCATGAATGAGGTGCTGACCAAATTTATGCATTTTTAAAGCAAAACACTTTGCAAGTAGTAATACATATTTGATTGTTTTTACATCATTAAACAATTTTAATAGACTTCAATTATTTGCTGTTTAGTATATAGGGTGTGTCAAACTGCAAGGTTACGATTTTCTTAATTTTTTAAATAGAATACTATGTAATACCACCAATTAATGAATACTATTTGAAAAATTGCAAAATTCATAACCTCGCATTTTGACACACCGTATATTCAACACAGCAAATAAATGAAGTCAATTAAAATTGTTTGACAATGTGAAAACAAACAAATATGTATAACTACCTGCAGGGTATTTTGCATTAAAAAAATTATAGGTTTGGTCAGCCCCTTTATTTATGGACCACCCTGTATATTTAAGAATTATTGTTAAATATGGTTCTACAACTTCTATAATTTTTTTTTGTATTTGTGTTATTGTCTAACATGTTAGTATCGTTGAATAGGTAATTTCATAAGGATTTTGTTACTAAAATAATATACAGAGTGTTGTATTTAAAAAAATTTAGTAGACTCCGCTTCACGGGAGAAGAACACTGCTAAAGTTGCAACAATGACAGTCGCAGAAACCAAATTATGTTTTGTTTACCTACGTCGCTTAGTAACGACATGGTCACTCCACTGGCGTAGAACGAACATTTTTATGTCAATAGCCATTTATTTATTTGTTTGACATTTAAGGTTATGTTTTTCGAATCGTCTATTTGTTAAATATTTTTAATTTTCGACTATTTTAAGACGTTTATTAGTAAGTGTTGTGCGTTTTATTTAATCTAGAACCAAGCCGCCTAAGAAACTTGTTGGATTAAAAGGAAAAATTATTCACAGTCAAGACCGGCAGATTATAAAAAAAGTCGCCTGTTTTATGCAAACCGAAGCTGAAGATGGAATTCAAATTCCTTTACAAAATCATCGGTAAATAGAATAAAAAAGTATATTACGTATGTAATAATGTAGTTTATTATTCCTAACCAGATCAATCAGAATTTACAAGTTTTCTTTGGCGAATTTATACACTTAGTAATAGACTAAATATTATGTATTTGGACAAAAAAGATCGATTGTTTCATTATGTTATTGTAGATTATAAATCGTGCCCTTATTGTAAATACCACCTAATTACATATTCTGTCATAAAAATACGAAGTTTGGGTATAAAATGTTATCTGTAGTAATGACTATAGTAGTAAATAGTATATTATTAAACGAGCAATAATGGTCATAAATTGCGAGTCTAATACTATACTTTGTCCACGACCATTATGGTTTCTTTATTAAATAAAAGTTAAGTGTAGAATGGAAAGTTTTTATTAAACATAGGTAACTAACTGTTGTTTTTCGACTTTTCGATTTTTCGTTTTTATCGATTTGTCGATTTTTTTTTCGATTTTTTTTCGATTTTTCGATTTTTCGATTTTTCGATTTTTCGATTTTTCGATTTTTCGATTTTTCGATTTTTCGATTTTTTTCGATTTTTCGATTTTTTTTCGATTTTTTTTTTCAATTTTACCTATAAAGAATATTTTCATATCAGTTTAGACATACGTGTTGTCGTGACGTCATACCGTGACTAATGGATCATTATTCACTAGTGAATAATAGGTATTATTATTCTTAAGGAAGTACAAGTATAATGAATGTTTTATAGAACAGTCGTGGACAAAATTATTTAATTTCAATGTGTTAAAAAACGAATGACTTCACTTACTAGCGTCTATAAAAATGTTGGGCTAAAAGGAAAAACAAGTACTGATTTTTAGATAAATTTTTGAAAATTATACTATTGTTATTTATGGTTTTTTCATTGGTTTTAAAACAATATATCATAAAAAATAATTCTAACAGTAAAATTAGGCAACACAATTTACAATGTCTTAATATGACATGTTGCACTGCTATTTTTTTTTTTTTTTTTTTTATATATTAAATTACATTCAAATAAAACTTTCAATCCTTCACTTCATATGTGTACTGAATGTTTAGTTATTATGTAATTTGTTTACAAAATAGTAAATTTTCTTGTGGGTCTAGATTAAATTTGTTCTATTTTTTTTTTAGGTTCTAAAAGTGGAGACTACCATGATGACATGAATTATTCAAATTTTATAAAGTGGGTTTAGGAACAACTATTGCCCAATATGCCTGAGAAATCAGTTCTGGTTGTAGATAATGCTTCTTACCACATCGTAAAAACTGAAAAAGTATTACTTCAGCATCTAGGAAAGAAGAAATGTTAAAATGACTTAGGGTCCATAAAGTTGATCATGATGCCAATAAGGCAAAACCCGCTATGCATTAATTAATAAAAAAAAATCAGTTAGGTATTCCTATTTCCTCTAAATTGGACTGTTTACTGAAATAATATGGGCATAAAGTCTTACGGTTGCCACCTTATCGTCCAGAATCCAACCCAATAGAAAAAATATGGGCACTGGTTAAGAACTGGGTGGCAGTGCACAATACCAGATTTAAACTGGATGATATGGAGAAATTAGCCAGGAAGAAATTGTCTGAAGTTGGATCAAGAATGGTGTTCTATTTGGGAACATGTAAAGAAATGCAAATTTGAAAGGATTAAAAAGGAGCACATTTTGGATAATGCTGTAGATTCTCTTGTGTTTATTGTAAATACAGGATCGTCTGATGAATCTACTTCAGAGGATGATTGCAACAGTGACAGCAGTAGAAGTATTATAAGTATTATAGAATTGCTTAGTGACTGAAAGCGATTAATAACACAGGCCTACAAGAAATAAATTTTTCCAGCATACCTACCTAGATTCTAGTCAAACATATTTCAAATTTTGTGATATGGCTCAAATTGATGATTTTACTACTGTCAATAAACAAATAATCTTAAATTTCTTCATAATATGCTTTTCCAATAACTAGTAACTAACATCTAAAATTTCATCAATTTGTTTAACTATAAATGGGATTAAACAAGTTTGAATTTTTGAAGTAAGGGTAAAAAGAATAAAATTTTGTAAAATATTTCATACATGTGCAACTAGCAATCAACTGAATAAGAAATACAACAAACATTTATTATCACTAAGCTATTTTGTATTCATTGTGTTCTTACACTTATTGTTTGATTAAATACTATTGTATGCTGCAGATTTCGTTAAAGTTTTTAGATGTGAAATGTTTTAAAAATTTATATATTTTTCCCTGCTTCTCAAAATTTAAAACTTAATAATAAAGTTGCATATTATGCCATATTATGGCATTTGAGTACCAACTTTTCAATGATTTTTGCCAGTAATTTGAGTAAACCATTTAATAATCAATATGTTACCAATATTTTTCAAGCATTCCTAAATTAAAATAAACAATTTTATAAGTTCCTATTTTG